GGGGGGGGGGAGGGGTTGGTTCTGGTTTTGTGTGCCTTTTTTTTTAAATGCCGATATCTTCATTGTTTTACCTGCTCTAATATAAAACAGATTTCTTCATTAGCCATAAACCATTTCCATAGGAATAGGAATTTTTTTATTCTTTTAGTTTGCAAATTGACTTCCAAATTACCATTGAGTTTTACAAGAACTATTAAGAAGAAAATTGAATAAAATATAGATCACTACCAAAAAGCTTTTAGAACTTCATGAATAACATCATGTCATTAAATTTTTTATTAAGATTACAAGTAAATGTGTTCAGTTTTTTTACATCCTATTTATATCTGAAGAATGTCAAAACAGAAAGCTATTAGAAATATAAAATAAATGCTTGTTTTTGCATAGGTACAATCATTGGTATTTTCATTCATGCTCTGCCACTTCAGTGAAATGTACGAAAAAAAATAAAATCAGACAAGCTGCTTACTGTAACAAACAACTAAAAATAACATCTAACAGTTTATTTGTAAACTATGCCCTAGTTATACAAAATACTGGAAGAATGACTAATGAGTTTTATATTTGAGGCCTGTACAAAATCTTAGGAAGTACTTAAAACTTAAATGACGGTTACCTTAAGGACACACTATACTCAGGATAAAAGATGCTTTTATACTGAACCCAGGTCCCAGTTTCCTCTTCTGTATTCTGATCTTCTACTGAAAAGAGATTGAATGATGCGAACCTTCTTACAGACACTTGTTGGAGATGCACATCTTTCAAGTGCTTTTTCTTCAGAACCTTTGAAATAAAGAACAAATAAAACATTAAGAATAAAACTTTCAAAAAAAAGAACAAACATGGGTTTATTTAACTGAAGATGCAAGTCTGGAATCAACCATAATAACTATGCTATTAGGTAACAGCTATGAATAACTAGTCCAGGTATGTCAAGCCTGAGAAAGTAACAGTGGTATTGATGGTAGAGGTCAAGAGAATGGGTTATGAATGTATTACATCTCAATATGTATATTATATCTCAATTACTGTAAAGCAAATGTATTATATTCAGAAGTACACAAAGTTGCTTTTTTAACTCCGGCTCCAGCGAACCCACAGCAGAATAAGAGAGGCAGACTGGGTTCTTCCCTATTCTCCCATCACCACTGTGAAACTTTCTGTGCCATGCACTGACCCTGTAGATTAAAAAAATCTGAGTGATATGTTTCCCAGGTATACTACTTCCTAGCCTAGAAGTCTACTGCTGCACACTTGCAGAACTGCTGCAAAACTTCTACCTATCCCAGGCCCCAGACTTTCAGATGCCACAACTGCATATTCCCCTACTGGGCCCCCATAAGGGGACTGATGCACTAGCCAACCTCTACATGATCCCCAAAACACACTGCCAGCACCAAGTTCAGCTCTAAGAGACTAAAGAATTCAAGGCAGCAGCAGAAGCAGAATGTGGCCATTTGCATTTTGTGTAATAGCTAAATGATTAAAACACTTGTTCAGGAAAGGGAAAACATGGGATATCTCTGTCCTGCATAGTCTGCTGCACTCAACAGGAAGAGTGCGGCCAGCAGGTTGAGGGAGGTCATGCTCCCCCTCAGCCCTGGGTATGCCGCCTCTGGACTACTGCATCCAGTTCTGGGCTCCCCGGTTCAAGAAGGACAGGGAACTGCTGGAGAGGGTCTAGCAAAGGGCTACAAAGATGATTAGGGGATTGGAACATCTCTCTTATGAGGAAAGGCTGAGGGACTTGGGTCTCTTTAGACTAGAGAAAAGACTACTCAGGGGGGGTCTTATTAATGCTTATAAATACTTGAAGGGAGGGTGCCGGGGGATGGGAACAGTCTTCTTTCAGTGGTGCCCAGTGATAGGACAAGAGGGAACGGGCACAAACTTGAATATAGAAGTTCCATCTTAACACAAGGAGGAACTTCTTTACTTTGAAGGTAGCAGAGCACTGGCACAGGCTGCCCAGAGAGGTTGTGCAGTCTCCCACTCTGGAGACATTCAAAACCCCCCTGGACGCTGTCCTGTGCAACCTGCTGTAGGTGACCCTGCTCTGGTGGGGGGGTTGGACTAGATGATCTCCAGAGGTTCCTTCCAACCCTGACCATTCTGTGATTCTGTGTCATCGGGGACTGAATTATCAACTCCTCCATACAGGAAAACCCGGCACCCAGCACATTTGAGCTGTATCATTGCACAGAAGACAACCAGCATTTCCCTGCCAGATGAAAAGGCTTATTCTTTAGGTCAGTGGTGGGCAAAGAGAGATGTCCTGGGTTTAACTTCTTTCTCCTAACATTGAACAGAATACATAAATAATTGCCATTGCATTTTCAAAATGAAGGTGCACAAGCAGTCCACAGTGATAAAAAAAAAAACAAACCAAAAAAACCCACAGAGCAGAAAATAAACTCATCAGTATAAACAGAGCTACAAGGAATAGTTCTATTGAGCAGGAGAGCACCACAATTTAGTTTTTTGACAACCAGAGCTAAATCTGAAGTCTAATGAGAAATAGCTCTCCAGAATTATGAAACTTGACATGGAAGCTTTGCATATGGATTGCATACAAAAAAAATAAACGTCGACCTTTGTTGACCATGCTTTAACTGGAAATACACCCAACAGTCTTACAATTTGGTGCCATGACCTATTATCTTGCAGAATACTTGGAAATATTACACATGCGAGCACAGCAATTGTGTTTGCAGGTCTGATGCAGCAGACACTGCTCTTGGATCTGTTTTCATCGTCAAGTCTCAGCATAGGAAAGGCACAGGCATTTTCATCAAAGTATTAAAAACGGCTCTGTGCTGTCTGCGCTATTTCTTTTACTTCTGTAACACACAGGGAAAATATACATGTGAAGGAAATCACAAAACCAGCAAAACAGGAAAACCAAATGAAAAAACTAGCAGAACCAAGACCTTCATATAAGGGCGGCATGCCGGGAAACACAACAGACAGCTTCTTCTTGTACTGAAAGGCCCTGTTTTCTGCACAAGGTCTTTACAGGTGTACACAAGCATCGGACTTGTACATGGGTCATGCATACAAATATTACCTAAATAAAAGATTCTCTTCCAACAATTAGGTACCTTAAAAGAAAAAAACCACCAAGAGCAGCAACAAAAAATCCCCAAATGATGCAAGCTCACACTTTTTCCTTGCGGTTTTCTCTCTCTGACTTGCATTTTCTTTCCTCTCTAACTTCACCTAGCAATACAGAATTCTAAGGCAATTCTTTCTTCATTAACATACAAGAATTTTTTTTTAAAAAAAAGCATCGGCAAACTGTCACCTATTTTAGAAATATTCTAGTAAAATACTACCACAGACGTCAATTGCGGGGCCCTAAGTATTTAATGACAATATTAGGGCCATATTTAGAACTCCCTATAAAACCTAAAGATGTTTGATCTCTCTTAAAAAACAAACAGCATATGGAGAAAGGCAGTCATATGAAATTCCCTGTATTTCTTTGTGTACCTCATTGTGTATGACATAGTTACATTAAAAGCCAAATTCAGCAACAGCTGTTGGTCTACAAACCGCCACTGAGTTCTGCTGCGCTGACTGGAACATGGTATTTTGTACACTCAAGAAAGTTTCTACATAATCAGCTACAGCATAATCTATAACTACACCATCTCTAAATATCATCAGTAGGACTGTGCATTATTTATTTTTACAAATAGTTTATTTACCAAATTGTTTTATCCAACTGTAAACAATTTACAAGCTCAAGACTAACAAAACTGTTGAAAAAGATTTGAAGGCACCCTTCACAAAAGGAGGAGCAGAAAGAGAAGAAAAATTGATTTAGGATTCCCTTTCTGTTGAGGGGAAGTGGAAGTGTCACTTCCCTGTCCTCACTTTATCTTTTATTTTTCAATTCTGAAAGCTAAAGCACATTAGCAGGTGAACAAAACTTCTATGAGAAGAGCAAGAGGAAGGTAACAGCTAAGATCAACATATAAAGCTTACATATTTTAGGAACATTTTCATTAAACTTTCCATAGGGAGCAAGTGTCCATATAGGGAGCAATGCCTATTCCTCTAACTTCCCTGCTAAAGACTACAGACTGGATAATGCCATCAATTGCACAGACTGGTAGAGCTCAAAACACAGCCTTAGAGAATTTACTCCAGTCATTTAAAAATGCACACTACATGTGAAACTTACCTTACCTTTTTTTTTCCTTTAAAGCAAAAAAAAAAATATTTTCCTTGATTCTGACAAGCTAAGTTTAAAAATATTGCAAACTTCAAACTCAGTACATACATAAAACATTTTATTGATAAAGAACACATAGGTAATTATGCAAACCCCTGGTTCTTTATGCTAGCTTCATAGGATACCTGATAAAAGGGCTTTTTTCTTAATTAAATCAGCAAGCACGCACTCAAGCATCCTTACCATAGCAAATCAATTTGTGTATGCACTGAATGAAGCAAATTCAATATATAAATGCACCACAGAACTGATTTCGTGTAAGGCGTTATTATAAGCAGTATGAAAAGTGTCTTTAAAAGCACTGTAAGGAACACTTTGACAGTGCTCCTTTAAAGACGGATATAAAGGAAGGTTGATACTTTCTCCCAATCCATAGATAGATCTGAGCATCACTGTAGTAAAGAGTGCAGAGCTGATTTTTATTTCAGATGTACCAGTAAGATTAAATTGATCCTTGTTCATCGTACCATACAAAAATCAACAGAAAAGCTGAAGAACATGGAAAAAAACCCGGGAATCTGCAGAGGAAAAGGTCACAAATACGTGTGGTTTGAGGAAGAAACGGAAGCTTTCACCCCAAATACCTACATGCACCCCTCATACCACCATTTGATGGTTATGAAAAGTTCATTATGATTTTAAGAGACAGGGATATGCCAAAGGCAGTACGAAATAACATGTTGTATAGCCGCAGAGCGCAGCTTGCATGGTCTGCTGGAACAGGAACCTACAAAGACAAACCTGATATTCCTATCAATAACTCTGACGTTTCCTTTGCTAGAGTATAACAAAACAGAAGTTGGTCCTGTTGAACAGGACCGAGGAGTCTGCAAACCAAAAGCACCCGCAAAGAAAACGTCAATATTAACCTCCCTGCACCTGCCGCTCCATTAGCCGACGGCAACCAGGTGCCCCTTTCACACCATCTGCCGCCGTCGGACATGGGAACACCATCTCTCGGGGAGAGCTCGCCACGGGCAGCTCTGGGCATCCATTTGCACAAAACTAAACATTTAAGCTCAGGCCCCAAACATCACCTCCAATAACAACAACAACTAATGAAACCGATCCAGGGTTTTTTAAGCATACACTCCCTCTGCAGAGGAATCCTTTCCAACCTCGCACCGCTCCTAAACGGGGTTCAAAACAGTATGGGAAGGCCGGAGCTGCTGTCGGAGCACAGGTGTAACCACCTGCTGCTTCTCCCTCCTCAGGCCCGGCCCCGGCGCCGCCCGGGCCGCCGAAGGCAAGGGCTGCTCCGGCTGCCAGGGGAGCGGGTTCCCTCGCCCCAGCTCCCCACGGGAGGCAAAGGACGGCAACTGGGATGCAGTCTACGGTAACCAGCGGCCAGCAGCACCGACCGAAGGCGCCACACCGCGGCCTAAGAGCACCGGGCTAGTTGCCCGCAAGCTGCGGGGCGCCAACGGGGTGCCGGCCCTCCTCGCCTTAGCGCTGCTCTCCGCGAGACCACAGGCTGCTTTTGGGCTCTACTGACGGCACACTTAAAAGAGCCCTATGTGTGTGTTTATATGCATATAT